TTCCATTTGCATTTCTTTTCTCATGACTTGCCTGATTGTAAAAACTTTTAACAGGTCTAGTTAACATTTACTTGGGTTTCTGAGTGCCATTCACTGTTATAGTCTGTGTATTATCTCATTTAATCTGCTGGTCAAGTACATGGATTATTGTCCCCATTTTCAGGGAGGAAACTGAGACTTGGAGAAGTTAAGTAGTTTGCTTATCTCTGCTGCTAGTAAGCAGAGTCTGGATTCTGAGCGAGGACTCTGACCCCACACAGACCTACAAGTCCCACTTGCTGGAGAACCCAGACTCTCCCTGCCTATCCTAAACTGCCTCTCCTCTGACATTTTTTCCACTGGATTATTTGCATTTTGCAAGAGCTCTTTGTCTTTTTATTGCAGGTGCTTAGAAGGGGGAAGGGTGGGAGGGTCTGTAGGGTACCCTGCCTTTGGTCAAAGCCCGGCTGTGCAGGAGTCAGGAGAGGTCAGCAGGAAGCAGCCCAAACAGTCTAGGACAGCGGAAGAAGACGAGCCCCACACAGAACAGAGGCCTGTGAGAGTGAGTGGACTTCCACCCCCTCAGAGACAGAGCGAGAGTGACTCACAGAGTGGGGGTGGGGGATGAAGAGACTGAAGCTCCCAAGTGCCCCCTGTACACACAGACGGTCCAAAGTCATCAGAGGGAAGCCTGCAGCAGAGAGAGCTAGACACGCTGCAAATGAGACCCGCTCCAGGCAGGCTGGAGGCAGAAGTCTCAGCGCAGAGCACATGCTTGCAGGGTGGCACTCAGGAAGGAGAAGGGGCTCCAAGGGAGCAGGTAAGGGTAAGGGAGCCAGGGAGGGTCATGGAGACATGGGGTCACAGGGCCTGGAGCCTGGAGACAGCACTGCCTCATGGTGGGCTCTGACCTGGGATGCAGGCTCCTGGGCTCATCCTTCAACAGTTTTTAGCTCTGAAGCCTTGGACAGGTACCTCCACCATCTTGTTCCTTGGCTTCCCCATCTGTCAAATGGGTGTAAAAATGGTCAAGCTAACTCTGCACTGAACTCCTGCTGAGTTGTGCTGGGCACTCACAGGCTACAAAGTGGGGTCATTGGCCTCTTTAACAGAAGAACATGAAGTGCAGAGATTTAGCCATTCAGGATCAGCAAGGGTGTGGTTTCGAAGGCTGCCTGCTCTTTACTCCCATTCTGCCTCCTTCATAGGGTGGTTTTAGAGAATCAAACGGCCTTTTGCAAATAGAAACGAGCGGTTAAAGGCGATTATATTATCTAGTGGTGTTGCCACACAGTTCTTCTGCCAGTTCCCTATCTCTGTCATGTTGGTGTTGGAAACAATGGGGGCCACTGCAGACAGTTGATATTTGGTAATGACTCGTGCACAGGGTGGTGTTTAGGATTCACTGTCCCTGAGCTGCCCTGGTCTGGGGGTGGTGGRTGATCCATGGCACAATGTCTCCTGGAGAGACTGGCCTCTGACCAGCTGACCTTGGAAGCACAGCGGGTGCCTCACTGATAAGGGCCAGGCTTTAGTCACCATCCTCCTCCTCCTCAGCCCTCCACAGCCTTGGCCGTGGATCTTCAGAAAGGATAGCTCTGATCTGGGGGGAAAGGGGAGAGATTTTTAAGAACAGTGAGACAAGCTGATCTGGAATAAAGTTCAAATTTTCAGGTAAGAGAATTTTAAAAATAAAACACAATTGATAGTCTTGCTCCAGAGATAGGCACTGTTGATATTTGGTTGCTTATCTTTCCAGACAGTTTTCTTTGAAAATAGGATTGTGTTGTCATGTGGTTTTTTTTTTTTTTTTAAGAGAGAGTGAGAGAGGAGAGAGAGAGAGAGAGAGAGAGAGAGAGAATTTTAATATTTATTTTTTAGTTCTCGGCGGACACAACATCTTTGTTGGAATGTGGTGCTGAGGATSGRACCCGGGCTGCACGCATGCCAGGCGAGCGCGCTACCGCTTGAGCCACATCCCCAGCCCCCTGTCATGTGGTTTTATAGCTGGTTCTTTTTCACATTACATCATGGATATAGTTCCATATTAATAAATGTTTTATCCCATCATTTCCAAGGCTGCAGAATGTCCCTTCCACAGATAGAGCAGAATTCACCTCGTCAGCCTCCTAGTATTCGATAACGAGGTGATCATCTGTAGYTCACCACTGCTCAAGGCCTTGGGCATCTCTGTAATCAAATATTTGCACAGGCCCTTGATTAATTCCATGGAATAGGTTTCCAGTTCTGAGTCAAGGCTATGAACACTTTAAGGTTTTTGATAATGATTGAAGTTCTGTTTGTGATGCTGGAATTCAGGGGCTCCTCAAAGATCAGTGGAGAAAATGTTCTCATGGCTTTGAAGTCAACTGTAACTCTTCCTCTCTCTCTAATCGGTTTGCAGAAATAAGGCCAACCACCTCTTACACAGTCCTTAACTGGGCACTGGGCCTACCTAAAAGTCTAGCTCCTCTTAGCTTTCTTTTCACAAGAGAAAATTGAGGCCTGTGGGATGCAGCACCTGTGGGATGCAGCAGAGCTGGGTTCGTGAGCTCCACAGCTTGGCTCCAGGGTCTACATCTGGTTCTGGGAAGTTGGTTGATTCTGTCTCCAAAGACATCATTAATGTTGTCCCCTTTTGTCCTCTTCACCCTCAGCTCACTAATGTCACACATCACCATCACCTAACTGGCCTTCCATTTCCAGTCTTGTCCCTCTCAATCTGTCCTCTATCTGAAGCTGGAATGCCATTTGAAACATGGAAATAGTAACACAGATCAGACCACCTCCCCGAAAGAAATTCAGATGCTTCCTGAGCTTCAAGCCCTTCCACCTCCTGCCTTTCTCCGGCTGCACTTCTTCATTGCTCATCACTCATTACACATCTCCTTGCCTCATTAGCTCCAAGAGCCACGAGGTCAAAGACGGGTTGATTTTGCCCACTGATGCAATGCCTTGCACAGTGCCTGGCATACAGTAAGCACTCAATAACTATGAATGAATGAATGGTCCACTGAATAAAGCACTGGTACAGTCCTTTGGTCAAGTGCTTCTGTTAGGGCTGAGCYATCTTATCTTGCTTATCCTAATTTCCTTCTTCCCTGTGTGGTGCAGTGACCGAGTTTCTAGAAGAAAACCAGGATGCCATGGGTGAGAGAGTAAGTAGGTTCTGCTCCAGGTGTCAGGTCTGTCAGGGGAGATGAGGCCATATCAGGGGTCCAAGGGACTCACAGCCCCCAAAGCTGCCCTTGCATAGTTCCCAGGTTCCTACCATTAGATTCTTATGGCTGTAAAGAACCAGTAAAAGGAGAGCACTTCTGCCTAGCCAACAGCACACCCCGGGCTTGTGGGCTAAGTGGATGCTGTTCTGTTTCTGTGACAGCAGCATGGTGGTGGACTTGGAATCCAAAGACTCGGGTCCCAGTGTCACCAGAACCAGCTAGGTGGCTTGGGGTGAGTCACTTACCTCCATCTGCCAAGTGAGTGTTAGGAGGGAGAAGTGGTTTTTAAACCTTCCCCCACCAAAAAAACTCAGCTATTTAAATAATTGAAAGGGCCAAGATGAGAAATAGATAACAAGCCAAGCATTTCGATTTGAAACAACAGGGAAGCAGGGCTGGGGCTGCTCCCTTCTGACTGCTCTCCTTAAGTCCCCAAGGCTGACAGGATGGCCAGCTGTGGGACTCGAAGATCTCAGCGCTGGCTGGCTGTGTTCTAAGAACAAAGCAGGAGGCAGCAAGGTTTGCAGGCTGTGTGGGCACGGTAAGAGATCAGGAGGGGACAAGGGGGCCGGAGGAGGCTGGCGTGCAGAGTTTTAGACCGTGAACCAGGTGAATTTTGCAGCAATAGAAGCACAGGGCAGGCAGCCCTTTTGTGCAAGGAAGAGACCAGCCATTTGAGAAAAGAAATGAGGGGAGAGGAAGCCTGGACGACTCACTTACCCTTTCCATGATCCAGAAAGGAAATCGCCACCCCTGCCTTTCCAGGCCAGGGACCTCAGGTCTGGGAAGAACCGCCCACAATYACGCAGATACTTGGCTTCCAAGTTCAATTGGTTGCCACGCCCCAGGTGTGTGTGGGGGAAACTCGGTCCCCAACCTCCCAGCCGCCACCTAGCAGCTCTCTGGCCTTGGCACCAGGCAGGTGCGCTYAACAGGCTGCAGCCTGGGCCACCTGGCAGCTCCAGGTGCTGTGATCTTGCTGCCATGGAGACGGCCCCGGGCTTGGTGGTGAGAAGGCAGTTTCCCAAAGCTTTGTGGATTCAGGAGAGGGAGAGACCAGAACCTCAGGCACTTGTGAGTATTCTGCCTGATCCCKCTGCAGCCCGCACAAGCCCAGGTGGGTGTCTTGATGGTTTCCCTGGACAAAGCAGRGTGGGGGATCCAAGAGACACCGAGTGCCAGGGAGAGGCTCTGTGAGGGCTGATCTGGGGGCCTGAGCTCGAGGTCCCAGATCAAGGGGAAAAGCTTTCCCAGGGGCSTCTTCATCAGGCCTAGGAGCGGGCCAGGCAGCTCTGGAGGGTTGGCCCTCTAGACCAGGCGGAGGAGGAAAGCAGGCCTGGCATTTGCTCCCACAGGAAGGTCAGACAGGGAATTGACAAAGACCATCTTGCCCTGGTCAGAGATTTAAGGGAAGGGAGGATCTGTCCTCTAGCAAAACCCCAACCATGGGTGAACCATGGTTCTGACTTCAGGGCAGTCAAGGGCCAACACRGTGACCACAAGGAACATTCCCAAAGCCATCCACAAAGCCAGGGTGCAGTTCCCTCCACTGCCAGTTCATCTGGTGCTGTTGGYTGGGGTGGTGGTGACTCAGGCCTTCACCCTGACGCAGGGGAAGCTGAGTACRTAGACGTAGCTGAATGGCTTAGAAACAAGGTGCTCTGGAAGAAAACGCTTTTGAACCTAAGCTGCTTCTGTAAAATGGGACTGAACAGAACGCCTCAGAACGCTGAGCCTCAGACCAGCTCAGGGACAGAGCTTCACGGGTGAACCTTTGCTCCTTTTTCCTGCCAGGACATCCCCTGTGAGGCCTCCCAGTGTGGTCTGAGGATGACCGAGCCCCAGGGCCGGGAGCCCGAGGCTGAGTGTCCTGTCTGCTGGAACCCCTTCAACAACACATTCCATACCCCCAAAGTGCTGGACTGCTGCCACTCCTTCTGTGTGGAATGCCTGGCCCACCTCAGCCTGGTGACTCCGGCCCGGCGCCGCTTGCTGTGCCCGCTCTGTCGYCAGCCCACCGTGCTGGCCTCGGGGCAGCCCGTCACTGACTTGCCCACAGACACTGCCATGCTAAGCCTCCTCCGCCTGGAGCCCCACCACGTCATCCTGGAGGGCCGGCARCTCTGTCTCAAGGACCAGCCTAAGAGCCGCTACTTCCTGCGCCAGCCTCGGGTCTACACACTGGACCTAGGCCTCGAGCCTGGGAACCAGACTGCACCTTCCCAGGACACTGCCCCGGCCACCAGGCCTATGCCCATCCCCATCCCCAGCCACTATTCTCTGAGGGAGTGTTTCCGTCACCCTCAGTTCCGCATCTTTGCCTACTTGATGGCTGTCATCCTCAGTGTCACTCTGCTGCTCATCTTTTCCATCTTTTGGACCAAGCAGTTCCTTTGGGGCGTGGGCTGAGCACTCTGTTTCTGGACAAGGAACCAGGCCTTTCTCAGTGGCTGCTGGGGCTGGGGATGCAGAGCCTCATTTGGTGTTGTCTTCCTTTKTAGTATTTTATGATCCAGAGATCGGTTAGGCCCTGTTTGCTTCTGGGAGCAGAGAAGGCCCTACCGTGGGCGCACGTGGTCGGGGTTGGGGGATGAAGCTGAAGGGCTGGGAGGCCTGCAGAGCTCTGAGTGTGAACCAGGGGTTGTATGGCTACAGAGCCACATAACAAGTTGTGCCAAAGGACTAGACAATGGTATCCAGCGACCTGACTAGTCCAAATAGCAAGCCATAGCTCTCCCTGGAGCTGTTTTGGACTCAGCTCATGTTTTATTTTTTATTTTATTTGCTCTTTTCATTATGTGTTGCTAAAATGTTTGGAAAGTAAGTTTGAATTCTGTGAGAAAATGTGCTTGTCTCCCCTTTTCAGCTTTCTCCTTGGATGTCTTTCCACCAGTCCCAGTAAAAAATGGTCTGCATTCCTTAATTCCTTCATTTATTCATTCTACAACCATTAATTGGGCAGGTGCTGAGTGCAGAAGGGAAGAAAAGTGTAAGATTACCCACTGGTGTTGATGGCCCCCAGCAGCAGGGAAGACGCACTGTCAGCTGCTTCTTACACAGGACAACCTCTTGTCAGTGTGCAGTTCATGGAGTGTTGGGAGATAAGAGTCTAAAGGTGAAAGAAGCCAAGATCAGTGGATTAGGAATCTGGGATTTGGGCTGGAGTTGTAGTTCATTTGCCTAGCATGTGTGAGGCACTAGGTTTGATCCTCAGCACCACATAAAAATAAATTAAGGAATTGTGTCCATCTACAACTAAAAAATACATACATTTAAAATACTCTTAAAAAGAAAAGAATCTGGGATTTGGGGCTGTGGATGTTGCTCAGTGGGGAAGCACTTACCTAGAATTTGCAAGGCCCTGGATTCAATCCCCAGCAGCATAAATAAGTAAATAAATATGGGTTTACAGGCCTTTATTCTCTCTGTGGGTGCAGAGGTCTGTTTAGATGGTGCAGGGTACAGCTCTGACTCCCTCCTGGAAGTACTGGGATTCTGGCCTCAGAAGGTAGGATGCAGCCCGGGACAGAGGCAAAACTTTACTTCCATCCCAGACCTGCTGTGGGGGACCTATTTCTTACATGAAGAAACCAAGAACCTAGGAGCCTTGCAGAGTCTAACACCCTCATTTCTGCTTTTCTAGTTTTAGTTTGCCTGGTGGCCCAGAGCTCTGAAACAATCCCAAAGTGGTTAACCCACCATCACAATTACAAAAAGTTGGCATTTTGAGTTTCTTTTAATTGGTGAAATAAACTATCAGAACTTGAGTCAGTTTTATTTGGTCTAAATCATGTTCAATTTAATGGAAGTATCCTCTATAAATCCTTGTTAAGGGTCTTAATGTACAAGGTATTCCAAAAGAGCCAAGAAATATATTTTTAGTAAAAACAACAGTTTTCAGCTCCAATTTGTAGAAAAATTCTCCATTACCAAACTGGAAAACTGCCTACGTAACCCACCAGGGACTAGCAACCTCCTCTCCATTGGTGTCCTTCCGAGATAATTACACTGAGGCTGGGATTGCACCTCTCCCARTTGAATTCATTTCTCTACTCATCTTTCCTCCTTAACTTTGCAGCAGGTAAGTTAGGCAATGATCTCACCATATTTTCCAAGATGGGTGGGCCAAAGTGGCTCAGGGCAGGGGACAAAGAGAGGAGCTGGGAAGAGCCAGGAAGGAGCATCTGCTTATTCACTAGGGCATATGGGTCTAATTGTCATCCCCTGAAACCAAGGCTGTGACACTTTGGCTACCTTGTTCAAGGTCACTCAAAATAGAACTTATATTCTTGGAGTGGTTGATACACCACCAAATAAGACCTAATTTTGGGTTATTTTGGGTAGGGAAGGATATACCTAATATTAGTGTCTTCTAGTTTCACATTCAGTAGCTCTAACCTTGGGGTAGTCCTGTCTTCTCAGGGAGGCATTTGGAAACATTGTGGGAGCATCTTTGGTATGCAATGAAGGGGGTAGGCTGTGCTTCTGCATTTAGTGCAGAAAAGAGGGACACTGAGACCTGCTGTTTTTTATGATGGTTCTATGCAAGGAAAGATCTATTTCAAAATGCAAACAGTTATCCTGTTGAGCAGTACCCAACAGGCTCCTGTGAAGTTCATGAGGTAGAAGTGGGAAAACTGCCTCCATTTTGTGTGAAGTCAGAGATGAAGTCATTTGTGAACAGGGCAGTACACAAGGTGGAGTTAAAAAGATGATCCACAGAGGAAAAAGGTAATGCTGGCTGCACTGGTCTTGTAGCCAGTGTGGCCAACCTACTCAAGAAAGCCTGTGGAATCTTTATAAGATGAAATGCTTGGACAGATTAGGGTTCAGATTCAGGTTTATAACTTACTAGCTGGATAAGTTTGGTGAGTCACTTCTTGGAGCTGCAGTTTTGCCTATAAAAAGGGAATAAGAAACTCATATGGTCATGAGGACTATTGAGATGTCTGAATGTGCTGGCACACTGATGAGGCAGGGAGTAAGTGTTCTGCTCTGTGGTGGCCATGATGTTCAGCTCAGCATTATCATGAAATGCCACTCCTGGCTTTGTGCTTCTCTATTACTTTCTCATAATGGTGTTTGAAGAAATGAATATTCTACCAGATATTTGTTCTATTAAAGGCTTAGATGAAATATTTTTAACCCAACCATCACCTCATGAACCACCACCAAAAAGCAAACAAACAGGCAAGTCCAAGGGAATAGTAAGATTTACACCTGAGAAACTGCAAACCACTGTTAGTGCGCCATGCCCAAGCTGCATGGGGTACACTCATGTCCATCATTTTATAAAAATGGTGATGGAAAGTTTTTTCATGGCAAACTACAAAGAAAACAGAACTATTAAACAACAACGCAGGGCCGTGAGGACAGACCCAAGAATTCAGAGGTTTAACAACTGAACAGGAAATGCATCGATTTGGTTATAAATGAAATCAGATTAAAAACAGCATGTTTAGCTACATATCACATATTCTTAATTTGCAGAATAGAGCCAAAGCCACTCTCAACCTCTCTGGAAGGGCAAATGAAAGGATTTTGAACATTCATGGAGAAACCATTATATTAGCCCTTGTTTAATTCTTCCTTATTATGCTTTTCTTCCAAATTCCTCTTTTTATGTGAATTTACCAATTTCAGAGGCCAGAAAATATATACCTGCGGAAAGAAGGTGAAGGCAATCACTCACTACATACCCAACTAGTAAGAATTATGGAGCCCATGCACAGTTTACTGGTGATAAGGCCAACAGTCCCCTATTAACAAAGCTAAGAGTGCTGATTAAGGAGAAATTGTGCTAATCCATATCTGAAATGTTATAACCCAAGCCAAAAAAAGATACTCCTTGGACCAATGACTAGGGTTCAGAAAATGCTTAACTATAGAAAACAATTTTTAAAGGATAGTTTTTATGGAAGGATTTTACGGTAGGATTTTACTCCTAGCAAGTGGGTAATAAAGAGAAAAAGGTTTATGTTTAGTAATGCCTATTAGGGATTTTTTCCAGTTACTTSGACATGAAGTACCTTTTAATACACAAAGTACATCCTTTAAATAACCATAGCAAGGAGAGTGTACAAGAGAGACATCATGTTTGCTTTCTACAAATTTCTATGAATCCTGACATAGTGACCTTGCTTTAGGGTAGTATGAAGGATGTTAAGCTTCAAAGCAAGATGGAGGGCATTTTCTGATGAGGTGAGCGTTCAGTTCTGAGTTTCCTGATGCAGTTGGCATTCCAAGTGAATTTCACAGGAAGAGGTCAAAGCTTCAGTGTATAAACATCAGCRTAACTGCTGTCCACTCCAGGGACTTGCCGTGAGGCATTGTTCAACCAGTATGTGGGGAGATGTGTCTCTTTCCTCAAGGACTTTCAGAATATAGTCCAGCCACCTTGCTCACTGGATCACATGCAGCCCTGAAGCATATACCATGTCATGGAAAGCCAAGTTTCAAGAATTAAAAATGCAGAGAGTAGTCACAATCCTGAGTGCTGAGAGGATTCAAAGAAAGACCAATAAAAAATGTCTAGGAAGTTCATGGCTGGGCCTGAAGATGAGAATTTCATTTTCAACCACGAAAAGAGTTCACCATCACCTAAGGACTGGGCTGCCTCTTGGGAGTAGGCTGACGTGAAAATCCAAATCTACTGAGGGTCTATACATGGTAATTGGCAGAAAACATGATAGAACAAAACACATCAATTCTTTTCTTTTAAGGAAAATGGCTCCTAAGGGAGAGACTGAGGTTAGAGTCCTTCTTCCACGGTCTTGTCTATTCAGCCATCCAGAGCTTGAAGGTCCTGTCATATGAGCAGGTGGCTATAAGCTGTCCATCAGAAGAAATGTCTAGACCCATCACTTTGCCTTCATGGCCAGCCAGAGTTTTCAATGGGGACCAGCCTGGGTGGGTCCAGATCTTGGCTGTGTTATCATAGGCACCAGTGAGCAAGAAGTTCCCATGGATAGCTATTGGAGAAAAGAAAGGAATGTGCCTGAGAATTCATCAAATATTCAAGAGCTTACCAAAAAAACCAAAAACCACACACACATAAAAACAAAAACCTGCCCAAACATACTATTTTGAAAAAGAAGGCATTTCTATACCTAGAAAAACTAAAAACATACTGATTCTATGTTTTTTTTTTTTGGTAAAGGGGATTGAACTCAGGGGCACTTAAACACTGAGCCACATCCTCAGCCCTGTTCTGTATTTTATTTAGACACAGAGTCTCACTGAGTTGCTTAGCACTTTGCTTTTGCTGCAGCTGGCTTTGAACTGGTGATCCTCCTGCTCAGCCTCCTGAGCTGCTGGGATTACAGGCATGCACCACCACGCCAGGCCTGGTTCTATATTCTTAGGAGGTCTCTAGGGAAAAGGGACAACCACAGGCAGACTGAGAAGTGACAAAAGAGTCTAGCTCCTTCCTTGGTAGACAAGATTAATATTACTTTTCAGAATATCCTTAGAATGTCCATGGAGAAAAGAATAAAGCAAAGCATTCACAAGTCTTTACTCTCATGTTTGTTTTTTTTTTTTTAAATTTTAAGTGCTTTTATTTTTTAGTTGAAGATGGATATACTTATTTACTTCTATGTGGTGTTGAGGCTGGAACCCAGTGCCTCACACATGCTAGGCAAGTGCTCTACTGCTGAGCCACAACTCTAGCCCCACTTTCACGCTCTGCCATAGCTCTGCTCAGGGGTACAGCAGAGGAAGGAAACTGTAACTTGCTCCTTTAACAGAGGTCAAATTTTCCCCTGTTCTACTTCTAAGTTAAGCTACAGCCTGGATTGCACTCCAYTGATGTGCAGAACCTGTGTGGTGTTTAGGCATAAAACAGGAGGGAGGCTTACGTTCAAATTTGACTCCAGTCACTAAATTCTGATGGGCAGGGATGGTATACACGCAACGTCGTTGTCGTAGGTCCCACACTTTGCAAGTGTTGTCACCACTGCCAGTTGCAATGTGGTAGCTGTGGATCAGATGTAGTATGAAAGTTAGAAAACAGAGCAGTGACTGACCAAGCACCCTCTCCACCCCTCACTCAATGAGCTTATTTTACCCATTGGGGGAGAAATTTATTCCATAGATTTCCTTCAGGTGGCCTTCTAGGAACATGATACAACGTCCTGTGCGTAGGTCCCAAACACGACCAAATGCATCCAGTCCCCTGACAAAATAATATATCAATGAACACTTTGAATCCAGTTCTTTGGGGAAGCAGGCACATCTAAGAGGTGACATTACTGAGCTGCCCCGGCTTTGTGGAAGAAGCCTTACCCAGTGCCAGCCAAAGAGCCATCTTGATGGAAGGCAATGTCATACACACCCATGCTGTGGCCTTCCTGATGCAGGATCTCTTCTTGAGCTTCCAAATCCCATAAGCGCCATGAACGGTCATAGCTAAGAAAAGGAAGAATTACACTAGTAATCAACCAGCAGGTTGATTTGGTTTCCACAATGTGCAAATTACTATCAGTATCTGTGGCTTAACTTAACGGTTCCAAAACTGTTCTTTCAACCACGTGAGTAAGAAATTCCTTTCTGGAACAAACAATGCTTCAACAGCTAAGAACACCTGTCTTAGGCACTAGCAGGGAAACCTTGAACTTGCTGTAAATCTACCCTAGTTAACTATTTTAAGAACAGAATTCCCTGAGAATGGCTCAGCAAAGATTCTCTTGCCTATATTCTCCTTTCATTTTGTTATTATGTCTCCTTATTTGTTGAACTTTGTATATTTACAGGGCCCTATATTGGATGCTGGGCATACAAAAACAAGACTGGAATAGTACAGAAACACACCCACATATGTCTGGACAAATGTTTTCAACAAAGGTGCCAAAGCAATTTCAACAGAGAAAGGAAAGTCTCTTCAATAACTGTGGTAGAACTGGCTAAGCATGTGGAAAAAGACCAAAAAAAAAAAAGACAGATTCAATTTAAAAAAATACTAAGTGGGGCTGGGGTTGTGTTTCAGTGGTAGAGCATGGCACTGGGTTCGATCCTTAGTACCAAATAAAAATAAATAAAGAAAATAAAGATATTGTGTTCATCTACAACTAAAAAAAAAAAAAAAAAAAGACAAATCTTTAAACATTGCACAAAAGATATGCAAACAAATGGTAAACATACGACAAAGTATTCAATACCAACTGTCATCAGGGTAATAAGAATTAGAATAAGATAGCACTACACAATGGCTACCTTAGACAAACTGGTAAGATTGACAACACCAAATTGTTGGTAAGGATATGAAGCAACCAGAATTCTTGGAATGTAAAATGGTATAACCACTTTGAAACACTGCTTAGAAGTTTAAGAGTTTTATCCTCTGAACTATCAATTGTACTTCTAGGAATTTACTCAAGAGAAAGGAAAAAAAAGCATGTCTGCAAAAAGCCTGGTATAAGAATATTTAGGGCAGCTTTATTCTGACTGATCAACAAGTCCGAGTGTCTAACACATGACCAACTGTGGTGCATGCACACAATACACCACTGCTCAGCAATAAAAAGGAACTACTGACACCTGCTACATGATTGAATCTTAAAAATGTTTCACTGGGTAAAAAGAAACCAGACACAAATGAGCTCAGACAGTCTGAATAGAGGTGATTCACTTATAAAGACAGAAATCAGATGAGTGGTTGTTTTGGAGAGGGGAACTGAATAGGAAGGGGCTTGAGAGAACTTTCTCTATATTGACAGGGGTGTGGGTCACACAGATGGTAGGCAATTGTCAAGACTGAACTGTAAACTTAAACTCATCTCACCGGATGTTAATTTATACCTCAAAGAAAAAATTCACCACCAATTCTAGCCTCACTGATACAGAACCAGAAAGAGAAACTGATTAGTTGCCAGAGAGATTTTAATACAATGTATAGTAAAAACCCATATTTAAGCCATTCATTACAATTTAAAAGCAAATACACTTAATCCTCACTATATCATATTCTTTTCTCTGATTCTGAGCAGTTCACAAAAATTCTACTAGAAATCTCTTCTCTAAAAATTTACTTGTCAGACAACGAAAAAAAATTAACAAAATGCCACAAGCGTGTATGAATGGGAAAATAATGAGATGGCTTACCAGGTAGTGCCCAGGAAACGTCCTGATGGATGCCACATCACTCGGGCCACACGTACTGTGTGGCCTTCAATATCTGCCACTGGTTCATCACTGAAAAGGAACCAAACATAGACAAGTAAACCACTTTATAGTCATGTAAATATTTATTGTATTTATTTATTGTTGTGAAGATATACCCATTCTGTACATTTCAAGTGGCTAAGTTGTAACTATGCTTACAATTTGTTAAAATATTAGGGTTAACAATATTAAGCTCCTTCCCAAGGTTTTAAAAGATTTGGGACTATTTCATGTGCCCACAAGGCCAGCTGACTACCACCTTAATTATCTATTACTAAACCCTCAACACCATATAATTTAGTATTAGAGAAAAGTGAGACACTTCTGCCTAGTAAGCAAAATAGTCACTTTGCACCAAAGTAGTACTTGGATTTTGGAAAGAAAACTTTCAAATCATACTTAGAAATCAAACTGTTTTAGTACAAGTGGGCTACAGATAAATCTTTCTCAAATCTTAGTCTATTCAAGAATCCAAATGGAAAAAGGAAATCCTGAGTAGACAGAGGCTTGGCCTCCTTTTGATGGTCATGAAATTCTGCTACCCAGCATCCACAGAAAGATCAAACACAGGGGAAGGAAATAAACATGAACTCTAAAGAGGGCAATTAAAAAGGGAACTTTGTCAATGTGCATACAAAGAACTAACCAGAGCCCCAGGGGAATAAACACTGCTAAGTATTACCAAAGCCAATTAAAACTTTCTGGCTTGTAGATGAGACCCTATTTGGCAGAACAGACACTAATTAGCTCTTTAAAAAATGTTGGAATCAAAACCTTTCTGTGCTTTCCCAAAGAAAGAAAACTAAGTAATTGAACTCAGATGTCTTAAACCAACAGGGTACATCCACAATTTTTTGGGGGGATAGCAAAAATAATTAAATAAAAACMAAAAACCTGTTGTAGTTGATAAATATATCCTAGGTAAAGATGGAGCCAGTGGGAGATGACACCACCTTCTTGGCAGTGCTGCCAGACAGAACCTCACTTTCCTCTCCCCCGTGGCTGTGAGCTAACAATGAATAGGCTACCAAGATTATTATCCTCAGTCCATCTACCAAACCACGCATTTCTCCAGTGCTAACCCACTGTGTAGGAGGTAGGCTGGATCTTTCCAAAATATCTGCAGCTCGAAACAGTGCCACTATGCTGGAGGCATAAATTGAGGTTCAAAGTTAACCAGAAAAACCTGGCACAACTCCTCTGGTGAAAGAAGTCTAAAAAAGAAATCTCCCACTCTATTTTCACACTAATTTACCTTAACTCCTWGTTTATTGCTGGGGTCAAATATCAGATTTTTAACCCTAAGTTGCTGAGAGCCAACCAATTACTTATGTACTTTAGGATGGAGGTAGCAATTGTGGCACAGTAATACTCACCTGTCAAGACTCCAAAGTTTCACAGAACCATCAGCAGCACAAGAGGCCAGGTTGACATCTTTTTGGTCCAATGAGATTGTAGACTTGGGATGGAATACAATTGCGCCTACATTTGTGTTATGGCCTAAAAAAAGAGAAGAAAGTTAAAGGGTTCTCACTTCTCTATAACCTACAGCAAAATATATATTGYGATGAACAATACAGATAAAAATATATCAGGGAATATGTGTGAACATGTAAAGTATTAAAGTGACTATTTATCCAGGCACATGCCTATAATCCGAAGCTGAGGCAAGAGGATTGCAAGTTTGAGGCCAGCCTCAGTAACTTAGTGAGGCCCCCAAGGAACTCAGTAAGACCCTGTCTTAAAAAAATAAAGAGTTGGAGATGTAGCTCAGTGGTAAAGTGCTCTGTGTTCAATCTCCAGTACACACTACCCCTTAGTATAAATAAATAAAGTGACTATTCAACATTTAAAAAGGAAAAAAAAAAGATTTAAGCTAATATTTAAGCTAGATTAGAAAAAAGTAAAACATTAAAGGTTTGTGYTTATTAGTTCAGACATTATAAAATGCCTGAGTGTGGATGGATATGAGAAAAAGGTTGTATGGTAAGAAGTCATTACATTCTGGCTTTGGAGTCCGAGAAACTAAACAACATCAAATGAAATCAGGAACCGATGCTGTGTGTACTGGGTTTGAGTGTGAGGCATAGTTTTACTACTTATAAGAGGTCACATGGGGATAAAACAGATCTAAACAAGACTCTAACTTACCTCTAAGTGTGTGAAGGAGGTTGCAATCAGGAACAGACCAGAGCTTGCAAAGCCCACTCCTATCAAATACAAAGGAAAGCATCTCAGCCAGGGTTGGTCTGGGAAGGAAAAGGTACCTTGGTAACATTACTAAAGGACAATCTCTTCTCACCCCCTATATACTTTACAGTGGCAGACAGAAAATAAATAAATAATAAAAGACCAATAAATTGAAGGGCTATAGGAGAAGAGATACAACCAGGTCTCAGACAACCAGGGGCTTTTACTGGACCCTACTGCTATCCTACTGAATAGCATCGCTGCTATTCACCTTAATTTCTGGATCAATTTATGAGGAAGGCAGAACAAATGAAACCATCATGTCCTATTTTAAATTGAATAGCATTTCATCATCTACAAAGTATCTAAATTAAAAAAAAACACAAAACTTATTTTGAAAATTTTCTAAAAATTACTTTCGTATCTACTATCTCCAAGGATACAGCAGGATTTCCATTTATGCTTTATGATTAAGGAAACTGGGTTAGGGATGTAGCTCAATGGTAGAGCATTTGCCTTGCAAACGTGAGGTCCTGGGTTTGATCTCTAGAACTTCAAAAAGAACAAAACATTTTCTTAAATCACCATAAAGTAGAGTTAAGGTAACTGAGGCTTGGAGAGGTGATCTGTATATTTCTTGGGCTTTCTCCTGAAGCACAGTCTCAATTTCTGCCTAGTTGTATAGTTCCTATGCATTCAGTATAAGCTTCCTCTCTACTAGACACCATAGTCCACAAAATAAGGAAAAACAAAGCAAAACAGGGCTGAGGGTATAGCTCAGTGGTAGGGCACTTGCCTAGTATGTGCGAGACCCTGGGCTCAATTCCCAGCACTGCAAAAAAACCAACCAAACAAACCAAAAAAACAAAACAAAGTTATTACATCCCAAGAGTTTTTGCATACGTGTTAAGTAGAAAATAAAGTTAAATTAACACTTACTGAGAGTTCTTACCATATATCAGGCATTATCAAGGCAAAATGATTTATAAATRTTACCACTTTACTTTTATACATAAGGACACTGAAGCTTACAGGTATTATGTATCTTAGGTAGGTAACAGAATTAAAACAAAAAACAATAACAAAAAATAGCTATCTAAACTGAGGAGTGAACACTACTTGGTCTATAATCCATATGACCCGCTCAAAAATGCCAGTGTCAAGAACATGAGAGTCTGCTACATATTATGGTTCTCTGGTGAAACAAAGACTTTGTTGTAGTATGGTGTGATCATGAGAAACTGAGGAAGTAGAACTAGACAGCTATGACAAATGATTTTTTTTTTTTCTGGACCTATCCCCATTTAGGAAAATGTCAACTGTAAAATAAAACTTACCAACAAGCTGTGGCCAGCATTTTGGAATCAGGACTAAAGTGACAGTAGGAGATAGGCCGATCGTCCCCAATCTGACTGCAGAAGTTATTCAGAGACTTAAAAAAAGAAGACAAATGATGACATTAATAGGGTAATCCAAGAGTTCCTTGGCTTTTCTGCCATAAAAAAAGGGCAATCTTTCAGTTTTAACCCATCCCAAGATTTTATACTTTCACTGTTATTATTAGAAAACACTTGTATTGGTGAATGGAATCAGGCTTATTTGAAGCTCCAGGTATATTCTAGCCTTGGTAATACTAACTTCTATGTCAGCAAATATCAACAGAAGACCATATAGCAGTCTGAAGTACAGCTGCAACAAATTAAAATGGAGCAGTCAAAAATAGAACCAGTGGCCTCTGTGTGTACAAAGCACACGTAGGTTCCTGCCACCTTAACTAACAGTGCCTTGCATGTCATAGCAGATCCAGCAGGAAGGAATATTCATGGTAGTTGCCTTTACTTTCCTTGAGATGGTTCAAAGTAAAAAATCTAGTAATAGAAGATACTGAACAATCATTGCAAACACCTTACCCGGAGAGATTTGTGCAGCTCTTGCATCTGGGAGGTCCTAGTTGTTTCAGGAATCTCTTTATGGAGACGGGCCTCTTCCAAGCGTTTCATTGCCCTGGGACACAGAAACAACACTGCTACCAGGAACAAAAAGGCTGTCAACAAGGGTTCATAAGCTTCATTTAATAACCACTATCATCATAGAGTTGATCCTCATTCTCTCAGAGTAAACAAGAAAAAATACGCTTCTTTCTTCTAGAGGCTCTGCTTACCTGGGCAGTGAATAATTAGCAATCCACAGCCTGGCCACCTTCAGGCTATTTGGTCCTTCATGGTACCAGGTTTGCTGATACTGAAAGGCAAATAAAGAGCAGGAATGTTAAGTCTGAAGCATACCTGCCCTGAAGTCAGGCATATGTGCTTTCTACTGTATTTCCATGTCTTMTTAGATGGCTCTGGTTTCTAAGTGAGTTCACCAAGAATGCTATTAGTTCTTTCCTGAATAGAAAACTCACTTAGATCCTTTGATATTCACATAAGAATCACAAACAATTGCCAGAAACTGTTTCTGAATGGAAGAACCCTCCAAGCCTTTTCTCCCCTTATCCTGACAAAGCAATCCACCGAGAAGAGAAAATGACACAACTATTTCATTTTCTTGATGTTTATACTGTCAAACCAAAGACATATTTTACCTCTTCTTTGGACTTCTTAGATTTCTCATCATCTTTTTTTGTCTTTTTTAAGGCATCAGTACCAACCACTGAGAGGATATTTCTTAATCTGTAACACAAAAGATCAATATGTAAACAGAGTTGAGCTAAGACTGTCAAAAAGTACAGTAGTCCATGTCCCTGCCCCCATCTACAGGGGGATACATTTCAAGAACCCCAGAGAAGCTAGGTACAGTGGTGTAGGCCTATAATCCCAGTGACTTGGGAYGCTGAGGCAGGAGGACAAGTTTGAGGGCAGCCTCAGCAAGTAAGATCCTGTCTCAAAATAAAAATAAAAAGGACTGGGGCTATAGCTCAGTTGTAAAGTGTCCCTGGGTTCAATCCCTATTACAAAAAAAGGAGAAAGAAAAAGATGCCCAGTGAATGCCTAAAATTGCAGGGAGTACCAAAACCTACATATACTATGTTTTTTCTTTTTCTGTTCAAACTTCATTCACAACTCTAGCAACCTTCTGTAAGAGTTAAATGGGCATGCCTAAACTTTCATGTGATTTCCTTTACTCAATCTTCTTTATTTGAAGATTTCCTAAACTCAATTAAAAGCAATTTCTTATCCCATTTGGAGCTAACCACTCTGTACATTGCTACCACTTAGACAGTGAAGACAACCACAATGCACTGGATACTAACTGAGGTACTAAGTAAACAATAATTCAAAGAAATAGTTCTGGGTTCCAAGTAGCATAGCTGCGGGGGGAAGACAGAAAGTACAAGGAGATGTAGTTTCTTATTTTAAGTATCATGACAGCAGTAAGYGTAGAATGCTAAATTGGAATACAGAAGGGATACCTAAGCCAGCTATTTGGACCAGGGAAAGCTTCACAGATAGGACGTTATCTAAATTGAGTCTTCAAGTAGTCAGGCCAAGGGGTCAAAAATGGGAAAATGAACTGGGTGCAGTGCTGCACACCAGTAACCTCAGTGACTCAGAGGCAAGGGAATTGCAAATTCAAGGCTAGCCTAGACAACTTAGTGAGACCCTGTCTCAACATAAAATAAAAAGGGCTGGTGTAGCTCAATGGTAGAGCATCCCTGGTTCAATCCTTAGTACTGCAAAATAAAAAATAAAAACACYCCCAAAACATGGAGAAATGAGAGTTGAGGCAAATGTAAAGGCCTGGAGGTAAGAAAACTATGTTAAGCTTGGAATCACAAACAGTTCAGTAGAGCTGAAGCATGGGGTACAAGGAGGACTGGTGAAGGATAAGCTGGAAATTTAAGTAGGAGCCAGGTCACAAAGAGCTGTTAGTGTTATCCTAAGAAGAGTTTACATTTGAGGAAGATCCCTAGAAAAGTATGGAGATTAAAGGGAAGATTAAAAGGGAAGAATAAAGGCTGCAAAATCACACTGTGTATTGTAGAAACTTGAGTCATATTGATGGCCCTGAATTAAGACAGTGGCAGTAGAGATTCTAGCCATTCACCTAAGGAATAGAATAATGAAACAAGATAGACTTTGATGGTGAAGAAGACATACAACAGACAACAATAAAAAAGTATCTCCTTTGAAATGGCTAATAAAAAAATAACACACTTGATAGAAAATATTGGTGGGTGGGGTTACTTTGCAAGGATCAGGTGTTAGGAAAATCTTCTTTGAACAAGTGGCATTTGTGCTGAAACAAAAGAATAAAAGAACTCTAAAAGGCAAAGGATGAACAAAAAGAGAAAAGATTAGTTGGAAGACAGGAAAAAAGCTTGAGTACTCAGGAGGGCCAATGTGGCTGTCTAGCAAATTGGGGAAGAATGGCACAAGGTGAGTTTTGGTCATGACTAGAGGTTTCTTATTCCAAGTATAAGAAGAAAACATGGGAGGACCCCCCAACCCACCCCCGTGCTGTGGATTAAAACAGAGCCTTATGCATGCTAGGCAAGTATACTACCACTGAGCTATACACCTCCAGCCCAGAAACTGTAGGTTTTTAAGCAAACAATTAACACATTTTCAGCTGTCACCAACTGTCTAGATGTGAACGAACACAGATAGACTGGAGGTACATTCCCAAATAGAAAAGACTAGGTTTTGCTGACTGATAACAAAGGAGGTATGGTGGGTTTTCAAATGAGAACTGTGGGAATGATAGTGCCATTTGTAAGGGGAATGGAAGAGTGGGCCACAAATGTCAATTAAGCTGTCTCAAGTTTGAAGTACTTGTAGGAAGTACTTCTAAGTGACAGAAATTTTTGGAAGTCAGCAGAACATACATAGTAAATGATGCCATGGAGTGGAACTGATCTCCAAGGGTGAGCATAGGATAAGGACAAAGAACTGCAGCCTATAAAGGTTAGGTAGGGAAAAGAGGCTGAAAAAGCAAGAATGAGGTAGAGAGATAGGAGGAAAATCAGAAGGATCTGGTTGTATGGAAATAAAGGAGAGGGAGAGTTTCAGGCAGAGTGACAGGCAGTGTACTAGGGCTAGTCTTAGTAAAGATAGGTTAGGGATCTTAATAAAGAGYAATTTCAAGGTGTTAGGGGTCAATCATTTTGCAAGGGGCTGGAAAGTAAGGAGTAAGGGCTTTAAATAAACAGAGTAAATACAAACCATCTCTCTAAGAAGCCTGATGATGGAGGGGAGAGATGGTCCCTTATGGATACAGAGACAAGAGAAAAATCCTCAAAAGTGCATATCACTATGACACTGCGCAACCTTAATATCACAAGAGGAGCATTATTCAAGGATAGTGCTTCTRTAATTATATCCAAAAATATATATCATTATATTTTGTCACTGACATAGAATATATTTGATGTGTAAATTTTCAAAGCTCAACAACTGTTTATCCAACTCACAACTTCATACTGGGGTAGGAAGGGAGTGTCTTAGCACCTTCTTCACACTACAAAGGAAAGCTGGTATTGGAGTAAAAATTGGCCTAAAATCAGATTATGGGTTAAAACTATATAAAAAAAAACTTAAGATATTGATAACCCTGAGAATTCTATTAAAGTTTCAGCTAGAGGATCAACTGGATTTGCAACTAGAACCCCGTGATGAATTAAAAAAAAAAAAAAAAAAGTACATATTTAGAAAAGTCACCTTTCTCTTCTTTCAGCAGGGCCCTCTCCAAAAAGTGTAATGGGTTCCCCTAAGGCTCTAAGGCAAGCCTTGACCTCTGAGTCGTCTGTGGAAACATTGATTTGCCGGGCTCTCTTCCTTCTTTCAAACTCAGCCAATACTTCTGCCTGCCGTTCACTGATGTGCTCTTCAATTTCAAATACTTCTCCTACAAAAGGAATATGCAATATTAGCACACTCACCAGATCTTCTTTAAATAGGGAGAAAGAAATAATTTTTAACAAAGTATGTATATGACCCTAAAGAGAGGTAAATGCCTATTACACTTTATAATTTACCATTTTCAGTTTATAAACATAGTTTAGATGAGATCACAAAGAGTACAGAACATCTTTAGCAAATGAGTTTACTAGCCTTCTAATCAGAAGGTGAACTAGAAATATTATTTTAACACTTGCTAAGACTATTTGCTAAGAACAGTCCCAGTACAGGAACACTTACAAACATAAATTAGTAAACCGGAAATAATTACCAGGAAAATAAAATTCCCTTACTATAAGGCTTTTTTGGATAATCTAGAAACTATTTTTTTAAACTTGCACCAAATATGTACATCTAAGTGAAAAATGTGAGGTGCAATAATGACCCAGTTAGTCTTAAAAACAGCAGAAAAGTTAAAAAAAAAAAAAAGTTACTAATGTACACGATGTAGAAAAAGTGTGGGAGGATGAGAAACCTGACAAAAGTCCTTCCTGCAGGATTCTTTTCTTCTTATATCCTTCTGTACTGTCTGACTTTATGATAAATAGATATAATTTTATTTTAAAAATACAGAATTCTTGTTACTGTCATGGAAAGATATCACAAATAATATATAGAGTGAAAAGTGCTGATTACAAAACAATTTATATATTGCGGTTTCATTTACAGAAAAAAATTATGTATTTTAAAGTTACATTAAAATTCTCAGAAATACATTCAATTAAAATGAAATACAGGATTTTCTACTTCATAGTTTGATCTTTAAAAATAAAAGTAACTATTATCTTTTTAATTTAAAAAAGTTATTTCAGTTGGGGTAATAAACTTATAAAATAACTAATAATAATTAGTGGAAGAAAAACTGTTTTTAAAGAAAATCTCTGGATGCTGCGAAGAAGAACAGGCAAAGCACAAATATATAAATGCAAGTGTAAAGACTGAACTTTTGACATTATAAAATGAGTGCTAATTCATTACATTCATTAAGAAAACTGCAGCCACGAAGGTAAAGATGGACTWGGAATTTGCAACTTACCAGAGGTTATATTAATATTTCCTGCTTCAATTCCTGCTTTCAGTCCTTCTTTACCCAAAATGCCAGACTCTCCTTTGGCCAGACGTTCTCTCTCCTTCTCTTCCAAACTTCCATAATAGATGTGTGGTTTCTTCACAACAGGAGCCACTAAGTCATCGGGTGCCTTAGTTTTGGGTGCCTGTTAAATCAAAAGGTTGGGTTAACCTAAAACAATCTYAGAAATTTACCAGGCTTTCCCAAAGGATGATGCTCAACAGTCAATCGATACTGTTTCCTCTAAAATCCAAAGGGCAGCTTCAGCACTAGTTAAGATGTTCTTCACTGATTTGCGAGGGTGGGAGAGGGTGTTTTATTCTCACTCAAATCTGCCCGATAGGAAATAAGAGGTGGATAAAAAAACAAAACAAACAAACAAAAAAAACTAGTTAAGTTCTTTTGGTGACTTTTGTTTTTTTTTAATCAAAGATCTGCTTTGGAACATGCCTACTTCATTCTGTTTGAAATGCAATAGGTTTTATGATTCTTCCAAGGCTTATTGATCATCATTGGGGAAATACCAAGGGTAATAGATAAAACCAATGCGGTGCTAAGGGGAAACAAGTTACAACGTTACTGATTTTCACATTTCAACGTTTTCAGATTGAATATGAGTCAGGAGGCCTCATTACAATTCCAAGGACGTAACTCTTGGCCAGAGCATTCCTCGCTCCAGGGCACCATTTTTAGACCAGTCGGAGGAAATGTTTACCGTTCGGGGCGTAATGGGAGAGATGCAAGAGGCACATAGCACATGAAAGCTCTTGGGGACCAGGAAAACGCTGCTGGGCTCTCCAGGATACCAGAGTCCAGCAGCCTTCCTCCTCGGCCCTCCACGGCCTCAGCCCGCTCCCTAACGGCCCCTTCCCACAAGGACCCCACCCTCTTCGGCTCCTTGCCACAGTGAGCTGAGATCCCGAACTCTGTACCGTGGAGGAGGCTCGTGAAGAAGCCATGCCGGGCCCAGGAGCCGCCAAGCCCCAGCGAAAGCCGCGCTCTAGGTTTCAGACCGTCCACCGCGCGCCCAGCAAAGCGGAATTGCGTCACCTGCCGGAAGTGGGTCAAGAGCGGACGCAGCGCCCTAAGCGCGCGGGGCATGACGGGAGTCGTAGTAGCAAAGATTCTGGCCGAATGGGGAGGGGGCGTGACCGTAGAGCCTCCGAGGAAAGCTCGCGGAAGACGAGGTTCTTCGTGAAGAGAGGTGCAGAGCAGGCTGGGAAGTGTAGTTCTGCGGACTCCGCACCAGATTCGTGGTGGGAGCCGAGGTTCCGGGAAGGGGCCGAAGCTTGAAAAGAGGTAAGTGCGCGGAGTCGCGCGGTTCCGGGCTGAACTCTGGGGCGAATCTAGGTGCCCCGGCTTATCTGAGGCTTTCGGTGGTCTCTGAGCCCAGGAGCATGTTGCCATGGAAACCCGCTCTTGAGTGCTTGAGTGCAACTTTGCAGCTGCGGGAGGAGGGATGTCGGGAAGTCCTCCCCGGGGCTCCTCGGACGGAGCTGGGCGAATTCGCGGTGGWTTTGGGCCGCAGCGAGATGAAGCTGGAAGAGCCCTCTAGCGCTGGAATAAAATAAAGACGTGGCGGAGGAGCTTCGGCCTGATTTTGTTGTTGGTTTTGTTTTGTTGTGTTCAGCCTGTTCTTTGTGTCGGATAGAGAATGAGAAGATGGGTAAGAAGGCTTCAGGTAAACTGCGTGCAGCTCTCTGTACGGCCCAGTGCCCCGCTGCTGCTGGGGCGCCAGGGATGAACGACACAAGGTTTTTATCCGTGTATGGGGCGTGGGGGGCCGTCTCAAAATGCTCGTGTTCCAGGAACTGGACAAACTCCCTCCCCAACCCTACTCCCAGGAATAGTTATAAAAATAATAGCTTTTTATGTTTTGAGCGCTTTGCTAAGTGCCAAGTTATGTTCCAGAAGCTTACTGTGCATTACGTCAATTAACTTATACGACGGAGTATAGACAGAAACTAAGATCCCGTGAGAAATGGCGCTAATCGTTCAGGGTAGGTAACGTAGTGGGATGGGAACCTCGGCCTTCGCGAGGACCGCCTGCACTTTAACTATTACTCTATACTGCCGCCTCGTGGCAAGGTTTCACTCCCCCTCCCCAACCCCCAGCTGTTTTTTTTTTTTTTTTTWAATTTTTCTCTAAGCATCCCTTCCCCATCTCCTTTGGGCTTTGGCTTCCCCTGCCTTTTCTTTATTTTGAAATATGGTAGAAGACAGTATCTGATTTAGTACAGAACAATTTGAAAACTCGTGTCAGTGTTTTGTGTTGATGATATCACCTGTAACTGTCCAGAGCCTCATGGGAGAAGGAAATGTTTCTTCCTTTGTATACTTCACAGTCCCTTGTTTCATCCTAGATACATGTAATAGTAATTTATATCTGTACATACTTTAATAAGACTGCCATTTACATCATTGTCATTTAATGATCACTATATTGACCTATGTATATAATGAAGAGCTTGCTTCCACTTCTGTGTCTGTAAAATTGGGATGATTTTGCCAGCTTCACAGAGTTTTTGTGTTAAGTAGGAACTTAAAGAGTGGGAAAGCAAAAGCCTAGCACAGAGCTCAAGAAAAATTCATTTCCCTTCATCTATTTGTATCCTTCATTCTATTCAAACATTTATCCATAGCTTCAGTAGATATTAATCTCAACTAGGGGAGTATTTTGTTTTTTTTTTTTCTTTTTTTTTTTTTAATATTTATTTTTCAGTTCTCGGCAGACACAACATCTTTGTTGGTATGTGGTGCTGAGGATCGAACCCGGGTCGCACGCATGCCAGGCGAGCGCGCTACCACTTGAGCCACATCCCCAGCCCCAGAGTATTTTGTTTTTTTAAAAAAATGGTGTTTGTTAACACAGGTATTGCCTCATGAATTGCCCTCTCGAGCCTCTATGTGCACTTTCTCTCTATGTGCCCTTCAGAAATCAGCCAGGACATCATTTCCYGCAAGACACCTCACCTAATGTCCCTGTGTACCACATGTACCCTGGCCTGCCATGTGTGCTGGTGTGATGCTGTTGAATTACTGTCATCAGATTTGTCATTATACCCTGTTGCAATTTCCTGTTTTCTTATCTGTTTTCCCCACAGATTGCGACTGTGCCTTTGAAGTCTGTAGCTGGAGCACAGGAAGAGTTTGTTTAATGAATGACTTATCCATTTAAGATTTCCTTAGACTGTGAGGATAATCTTGTGAATTGGTGAGTTTACAGTTTCTGTGAGATTTGGCAAACTGACTTTTGCATCACAATCTCTGATGATCCTCATGTAGAGGAGATTAAATTTAATGGTTTGTTCACTCTGCCCCTAAGGATACCCAATTAGGATGTCYTAGTTACCTTTGTCTATTTATTTATTTGAGATGGGGTCTCGCTATGTTCCTCAGGCTGGCTTTGAACTCCTGGGCTCAAGTAGTTCTGAGTAACCGGAGCAACAGGTGTATGCCACCATACTGCTCCTAAATGTGACTGGAGCACTAGATTCAAGTGATTGTTACCAAGAATTCTCTATCATAGGCAGCTTGTTTGCTGTTGTAAGTTCTTTCAGAAAGAGTGTTTTGGAATTATAGGGTTGTGGATCTTCTCATGTAATAAAAATGGTATAATTAGATACCTGAAGATTTTACAAGTCTATGTATAGATCAAAATGAGTTTTTAAAATACCTCYGTTCACCTTAGTGTGCATGCTTACAAATTGATTTTATACTTGTAGCTGAGACTTATCACCTGCAGTTTTCCTTCCTCTCTGCCATTTTGAACAGAGTTGAAGATAGTTCAGTAGTTCATAGGTCTGTGTTAGTGTTGATCTCAGTATGCTGCGAAGGAAACCAACACGCCTAGAACTGAAGCTTGATGACATTGAAGAGTTTGAGAGCATTCGGAAGGACTTGGAGGTAAGAATATAACTTTCAAACCCTTAGGAAATACTTAAAACAGTAACTAACTTCTGAACCTCAGACTCTTATACTGACAGCTTATTTGAAGTCTATTTGAATGATTTGTGGACATCTTAAATTTAATGTGACTGSTGTAACAAAGTACTACAAACTGGGTGGCCTGAAATCAGAAATTTGTTCTTTGCAGTTCTATTGGCCACAGATCTGAAGTCAGTATCCTTGGGCTGAAATCAAGGAAGGTGTCTGCAGGACCATGCTCCCTCCAGAGGCTGTAGGGAGAATCACTGTCTTGGCTCTTCTGTTTTCTGGAGGCTGCTGGTGTTCCTCGATTGTGGCCACCTCACTCCATTCTTGCCTCCCTGGCACATTTCCCACTTCTTTTCTGTTAGTGAAGTCTCCCTCTGCCTCCCTTAATAAGCATATATGTAATTACTTTTAGGGTTCACTGGGATACTCTATCTCAAGTTCCTAAATTTAATCATATCTGCAGAGATTTATTTATTTATTTTCAGATAAGATAAAATTTGTAGGTTCTAGGAATCAGGGACTGATAGCCTTGGAGGTCATTATTCATTCAGCCTTAACATGTTAAAAAGAAAAAAAAAAGACAAAACTCGATTTCTCTATCAAATCAGTCATCCCATTGCATGTCTGTCCAGTTGCTCAGGCCAGAAACTGAGTGCTCATTTTGAGTCCTTCTTTTCCCTCATTCTTTTTTTTTTTTTTTTTTTAAGTTGTAGTTGGACACAATACCTTTATTTTATTTATTTATTTTTACGTGGTGCTGAGATCGAACCYAGGGCCTCACACGTGCTAGGTGAGCGCTCTACCACTGAGCCACAACCCCAGCCCTTCCTCATTCTTTAAATTCAATCTGTCTGTAAATTGTTTGATTCTAGACATCTAGAATCTACCTTTTCATCTCCGCAGTTACAACCCAATAACCATCTCTCCCTGTACAATTTTAGAAGATAGCTAGCTTTATTTTTCTTTTTCTTCAGGACTGGGGATTGAGCCTCGGGTCTTGTGCATGCTGGGCAAGCTCTCTACCACTGAGCTGCATTCCCAGTCCTTTTTAGTTTATTTTGAGACAGCCTCACTAAGTTGCTCTGACTGTCCTCAAACTTGCAATCCTCCTGCCTTAGCCTCCTGAGTAGCTGGGATTATAGGCATGTGGCACCACACCCAGCTTTTTAGTAGCTTTCTAAATGGTCTTTCTACTCCCATTTTTCTCTAATCAATCCATTTTTTTTTTATCAGGTATCTAGAATAATCTTTAATTTTCTTTTCAGGATGTGCCTTTCTTTGTTTTAAAACTCCTCAGTKGTTTCCTGCATTTGGAATAAAATCTGAATTCTTTCTTGTGTAAGGTTCTGTACATTGTAGTTCCTCTCCAGTTTCATCTCTTGCCTTGTTTCTCTATATCCTAAACACAATGGCTTCTTGCATCTTTTTTGAATATTTCAAACAATYGATCCTTTCCATGGCCTTGGCACATATTAGTTCCTTTGCCTGGAGTGCTCTCTTTCTCCAGTCCTAGTCTGTTTCCCCCACTTGGTCTGAGAGGCCTCATCTGACCCTACCTAAGTCAGCTATACATCCTTCTTGTCCCTACTACCTTCATCTCATTTGGGTCTTAAGAAGCACCATACTTTTTTTCATAGCAAATCTTATAATTTGCAATTATTGTTTATTATAAAATTATTTAATATTCGAAATCTTGATTGAAGAAATCATGCCTATCTTCTTCATCATTGTGTTCCCAGCATCTAGCATATAGGAGGAACTTAATATGTATTTTTAAATGTGATTTTGCCAAACAGCATTTGACGTCTATTAATAAGACTGAAATTCTTCATTGGCTTTCAGGACAGAGTCATAATTCTTTAGTGTGGCATGTGAGGCCCTTTGTGACTGGGTCTTTATTTATCTCTCTACTTTATCTTCCACTGCCAGGTTATCTTTAACTTGAATCTCTGTGCCTATACACACTGGGTTCCCTTTGCCTGAAATGCCCTTGTCCTTTGTCAGGCTAATTCCTTCTCATCTTTTGACTCAGCTCATTCCAGTCCTCAGCTGGGTTAAGTTCAGCCTTCTCCCCTGGTACTGATCTCTCTTATAGGTACTATCACTCTTCATTTTAATTGTCTGCTTTTCT